GTGGGGAGGGCTCGTTGGGGGAGAGGGGCGACAGTGGAGATTCGGGTGTAGTGCTCGTCACGCTCTCGTCCATTGGTGGGGGCGTTGGGGTAGACGGGAGTGGAAGACTGGGTTCGGGTTCGGGGTCAGGATGTGAAGGTTGTGGTAGAGTTTGTTCGGTTGGCGGGCATTTCGGGGCGTTTTGGTCCACAGTTGGGGTTATATTGTCTTCATTTGTTTTGTACTTTTTTAGTTCAATCTATAATTTCGGACACAAATATGTTTGACAAACAGTTTGGTATCAAATCGTATTTTAAACGCTTATAAATAGTTATCAAAATGAATGACTAATATATGAAAATATTTAATAACTATATGTGAGATTAAAAAAGTCGCAAATAAACAGATAATCGGCAGAAAAAACAAATAAAAATAAAAGTAAACAAAATAAGTATTGCATTACATATGTGTGAAATAATCAGACAAACTATACATACATAGGATCAAAACATGACATTTGAACTGAACATTGCATGGATAGTGAGCCGGGAAATAGGTTACGGGTAAACTGACAATAAATTGTCGCTATATTTATAAACATTTTTTCTATAAAATTACAAAATAGGAGGGGAGGGGGTCTGTAGTCTATGAACGTATACTGACTAGTGAGTAATAACTAACAGGAAATCGTTGATAAAAATTTCAAACAAATAATTAAAAGCAATAAAAAATAATTAAAACAATTCATAACTATTAGCAAACTTTAGGTAAATATTTACACAAAAAAGTTAAGAAATACTAACAAACAGACAGAAAAGACAACATTAAATCAAACGGTGTTTTACCTCAAGATCGGCTAACTTTGTCTCCAAATCTCTGTTGATTTGCATTAATTTCTGGCACTCAAGCAGTGTTTCAGTCTTGAACTCCTCGGCCACTCGAACAGTGGTTAACAGATCCGTCTGGAACTGCTGCCACTCCTCTTTGTCGGCGGCCATCACACCATTCAATCTGTTGATCTCCTGCTGCTTATCGGCTAAACTGGACTGGAGTTCGGCCACAAGTCTGTTCTTATCGGACAACTGGACCATCAGTTGTCTCCTGTCCTCAATGGCCGACCGTTGAGCCTCGAGCTCAGTCTCGAGCTTCTGGTGTTCGGCCGCCTTTAACTTCATAATCAACTGTTCATTGGTCTCACGAAACTCATTGCACTTGAGCTCAAAGCTCTTGATCTGTTGTATCAGTTTCTGGATCTCCTCTTTGGAGTCACTCTCAGTCAACGCCAACTGATGTCTCAGTTTCTTCACTTCCGTCTCAGCCATTGTTAACTGTTCTCTCAATTGGCGGACAATTGTCTCGAACTTTTGCTTCTCATTCTTGGCGTCCACTAACAACTGATCCATTTCTGACTTATCAAACATGGCGTCCATGTCTGCGGCCGACGACCTATTGGTCAATGAGTTCCGATTTGAAGTCTTTTTGGGCGTCTCTGTCGAGAACTCAATCAACTGATGTCTTAGAGACGACACTTCCATCTGAAACACTGGTAACTGAAACCTTCGCAGTCGTGTCGGCACTGAAATAGTCGACAAACAAATGCCAACTAATTATATGTCAAACAAACACTTCGCAGACAAACGGCTGAAAAACAAACGAAAAAATGAAAAAAAAATGAAAATTTCAATTAAAACGATAGAAATATATATTTCAATAATCTATTTGTCAATGAAATTGTAGAAAACACTGAACAGTGAACACGTAATGCATTTGAATATGAGTTACAAATATAATTAACAAACTTAAGAGACATTTCAAATGATCGCTTCACTAAACATAAGGGTTAAGACATATAAACAAATGTCAATGAGTTTTAAATATACTTTTTTTATTAGATAGCAATTATCTCCAGCTATAGTATGTCTGTAGCCAATGGTTGGGATCAACTGAGCGACTAATTTGGTTGATAGTAACGAGTGGTTCACTACAGCACCAAAATCTATGGCAATATGTGTGGCAAACGTACGGTTTGTTTTAGTCAGCGATTTGAATGAGTAAACGGTTTATTAAACTATAAGTAAAGCATTCAATTGTTTATCGCATTTTGAGTCATAAATATATTTTCACTCATTTAATGATAAAAACTCTTCGCATATGTCTTGAGGTCTGGCCTTTGAGCTGAAGACATGGTTTGCGTCAGACATGCAATCAATGGCTCAACACTTGCCTGCAGACAACACACACAACACTATATTAACAGACAATTCATACACCAATTAATTGTGCAAAACGTCAATACAATAGACAAATGCAAACTCTAATCAATGTTTGTGTTATTAATGCCAATAATGAGTACTATTATCAGTGTATCAATGAGTTATCGATACATACATTGAAATTACTGCGAGATATGAATACAACACATAAATGAGTGGTTTGTTTGGTTTGCCATCAATTGATAACAGATTTTGAAAATCACATTTAAATACGAGTTATAACTGTAACGGTATTCGTAACGTTAAATGCAAACCAATAGTTAAGTGTAAATGACATTAGATTTGAACTTTTCATGAGACAGACAGTCAGTCCACACAACATATCATTGAATAAATGAATAAATACTTAATAATAGAAAATGAATGCAAAGACAAATCCTATGCATAACTACAACAACACAACGGAAACCAACACTTGATTTGATGATTGACTTGACGTTGAAAAAGACACAGAAATGAGTGACAAATGAAAAGTAATATTACGTGAGATTGTGTGCCATTTGTCGCACGGATTCACACGTCTATAGGATTAGCCGATTATCTCATTAATCACTCAATGGTTGTGGGGATAGACACGCCATCAGTGAACACATTGAGTCGTTTGGCAGTCAATTAAACAGTGCTTTGATTTGCAAGCAATTAATAAACGGATTAAACAAATGGTTGTGCGATTTGGGGGGACAGACAGTCACCACAACACACGTTACAGTTGTATACAGTGTATCACAATTGCAGTCAATTTGATGCTTATGTTTGCCGTTCACTGCAGTCTCGATCACGTAATGTCTATTCGTAACACTATTTACATAATCGTTGTGTTATTTTGTGTATATTTTTTCAATACTAATCCTACAGTCAGCCCCCGCTATGACTCGCGTTCGTGCTAATGCACCATGGGCACATCAAACATTTTTGTTACATTCATTTCTTTTCATGTTCAACTATCTTGATTAATTGTTTACGCAATTACATTGTATGATGCTCATTTTAATTATGAATGCGTGCGTTCATTATAGTGAGAGTAGACTGTATCCCAATAGTAAAGTGAGTCATTGCGTACGGCTCTCACAAACAACGTTATGACTAAACGGGTGCTCAAACCCATTGCCAGCACAGGGCTTACAAATTGGACTTCTTTTGCCTACATTTTGCTTACAAACCCTAACCCCACAGTATATTTATGCAGAATGTATAGTATGTGCTTGGTGCATTTGATTCTTACATTATCTGCTCCTATTTATCAGTGTATGCTCATAAGATTATGAGCAAGCACAAGTACAGTCGCACCAACCGGGTTATGCAACTTTATTGCCAAAAGGGGGCACTTTATAGGGGGTTATGTAAAGCGGATTCAATTGTGACACGAGTTGTGCGCCATTGTCGACTCCTTTTGGTCTCCATTTGATTGCAATATAAATGCTTTGTTTCGATGAATTCACGCCATATATCAACAAATCCTCATTTTTCTTCTATTTATAAAAATTATATATAAAATAATAGTTAATTAATCTAGCTTATAATAATTATTTAATTTTCATAATTAGTTATGCTAACACAAAATATTCGACATTAACTCATAAAACACTATAATAAATTAATTACTATATTATACTTATTATTTATAAAACATGTTATATAAAGTTCATTGTCTATAGAAATATTTGATTAAACAGTAATACCTGTATTAACATTTAATTTAAAAACAATTTTACATCTAATTTAACTGTTAAGCACTAACCTAAAATCTTTATGAATTGTTTATAATTTGCTTAAAATTAGAAAATATCAAAATACGATAGACTCACATGTGATGGGGTGTCAAACTCCCAAAAGTGCGGAAAGGGGACAATACCACAGTCTCGAGGGTCATCCTTCATGACATCGTGTATCATAATTCTGTTGGTCTTTTGATGTCTCCTTCTCGACCATAATTTCAAAAATTCACTTAAATATCTAAACCACTGACCATTGATCTCATGGTGTAGGCCCAGTAATCTGTTGGCATAAATAGTAATAATGGGAAGTGACAGTAAAAGTCCCATTATGAAAGTCAGTATTTAACTTAATTACTATTGAAATAAGTTTTTATTTAAAACTAAACTTTTCAAAATTGTTTTTTATTTATGAATGTTTTGGGAGTAGTAGAAACTTTTATATACTTGAATTTCTATTGGAGACTATTTTACATCACTTTGGTGTTAGGTTTGGAAACTATATGACGTCAACGAAGGCTAAACAGTTTACTACAGAATTGTATATAGAATCGAGTTTTTAAGCATTATATCTAAAGTGAGACTAAAATAAGATTATTTACAATTAGTATTT